GCAGTTGCCATGCTACCGTATACCTACCCTTCACGGATCCCCCCTTCATCCGGGATCGTCGCACTTGGTGTGCTAATTGTTTGATGACCGACATTCGCGTCGTTAATTGTTACAATTTCATCATGTGCGGTGGGTGTTGGTGTGATGATTGCTTGATTTCCAACCGGTAACTCTGGCCAACTAATAAAACATTATGACTAACTACTCATCGAACATATCTCAGCAATTTATTCAAGATGTATTGGCTGCATATGAAGTAAACACGCGATCTTTGCGAAAAATACGACCAAAAGGAGCGTTGGTACGTGGAGACGGCAAGTTGTAGTAAAACTAGACGTTGTCTGTCAGTATCTACTCCGGACTACAACCTCCCATCTGGAAGTCTGGTCGGGCTCTGTGGTAAACGTTGTTTAACCAATTATACCCACACATGCCATTCGGCAATTATCTGTGAGTTATAATGATACGCAAATATTTCGTTTGAGCGAGGGGATTGAGCTTAACCGTGGCGTTTAAGGGAGGACTGTAAAGTTAAACCAGACTTTTCCTACGCCATACAGTCGAGTTTCGAAATATTTGCTCCACGTTCGCGCATTATTTTCCTCGGAGATTAAACAAGGCAAGTTGAAACTGAAGTTCATATACCAGAAAACAAACGGGGAAAGCTGGGGGACCCACAGACGAGCCGGACCCCTCGCAGCTGTGTCAGGCAGCGGCATAAGTTTGGCGAAACGCGCGTTCCTGGGCTTTTAGCTAATACCTGTGTTGTTAGTACGGTAAATCATTGCACACTCGAGTTCATTTAATGACCTGTGACAGTTATTGAGCTTCAATGCATGTAAGCATCTGCTATGCCATGATCAGCAAACCATGGTACTCGCAGCCTGGTATACGTTGGCAGTTCTCTGGCACCTGGCTCCTGCCGGTAGATGCGTTTGTGCTCCGGCTGGGTATGCAGGTTTTGAGCATGACCGCCCAGTCAGTCTCGTTTTTCTGACCCATTGTATTGCTCTTGTTCTTGGTTAAAATCCTGGCCAGGCGTTTGATGTGAACCAGGGGGCATGATGATACGCCTAGGTGCGGGTTCTATCGTGCCAGGCACCTGCGCCCTCCCTCACCTCGGTATTCTTGACTATGTTGTGAATTCGGATCCAAGTGGGGAGGAGAGGGTGCGGTAGATGCTTCGCAAGTCTGCTCTCATTATAAACTAAGCCGCGCACAAGTTACCGTGTCCGCCCCACCTTACCGATGAGCACACGGTGGACACTGTCGACCACGACGGTCGAAATGTCAATAGTTATTACTTGGGAGAAATATAAATCGCATCTGGCCAGTCATTGCGTGCACTAAAACAAAATCAAACCGCCAAGTCGTCTACTTCGTGCTGGCTGCTCTTTATGGTGCGATGGTAAGAGCAAGTCTGTAGTTGTGTGGACGCTGGGCATTCCATTTTTTTAAAAAAACAATACCTGACAATTTTTCGACCTATAAACTGTTTCTGGGACTCGAGTGACATAGGTTTTTTTAGACGGAAGAGTGTCAATTGTATATCATAGGTTTCGAAAACTTAAGACAGCCTGAAAAGCAACTTCAGTGCTGCATAATAAGGAATTATCAAATTTACCCAATCAGGAGGAATGTGTTTTGCCACGCAGTAAGCTGATGCCACCGAATTGATCGAAGCTAGTGTCCGATAAGGTTATAATTTTCCAGTACGGGTACTTTCCTATGCGGGAAAGTCAAACGAAAGAGCTCCCAAATCGACTTAACCGCAGACTTCCGTGAAAATTAAACCTTCTAATTACGAGGTGAACTTAAAAAGGTGAGAATTCTTTGTCGTGCTCTGAATCAGTAAAGGGTGGAGATCAAATCTTCAGAACAGCGGGATAGGTTAGGGACAAGAAAATGACTGTTCTCAGCTGCTGCCACGCATATAATCCTAATCCTACAAACATTCAGGTTTCTCTTAAAAGTACACATTTGTTGGCAGTATGTTATTACCGACAAAGACAAGGGAGACTGGGATGGCCATTTCTGGCTTATTAGCCGTCGTCAGCCAGTCATACCCAAGCCCGAAGTGTGGAACACCCGAGTCTCGAACTCGCGACCTGTTTGTTAGAAGTCCACGCCTCTATCCACTGGTCCACGAGCCCGTTGCCCTGTCGGTTTTCGATCGGGAATATGCAATGGTAGGCTAATAAGCCAGAAATGGTCATTCCAGTCTCGCTTGTCTTTGTCGGTAATAACATTCTGCCTATATCATGCGCCGCTGTACGGCTGCTGGCTGGGCCCGAGAGAAAGTCCGTAAGGCACAATGGGTCGAGTGAGTTTCGTAAAGAACGATCTGTGAGCGCCCCCTAGCATTCCACAGTTATTGTTAATTTCGTTGTGATTGCGTACTTATGGGACTTCAGCAGCGTATGCTCCTCGATGTTGGAACCTATGTTGCTCCTCATATGGCAGTTCGACCGTCGATTCCGATTATGCCAGCTTCGTGCTCCACAGCAGCGTGGGATCAGGGACCAGGGGATTTTCGCGTGATAGTAGACTTGCGATGCACCAATCGCACTCTCTCCTACTCCCCAACCTGGATCCGCTGTCGATACAGAGTCAAGAAGACCGGAGACGGGAGAGGATGCAGGTGGCTGACACGGTTGGGCCGCAGCCAGACGTACCACTCCACACTTTTTAGTCCACAACGTACACTGGCCTGTATTTTACGCGACAGGATGGGAGTGGAGGGGGATACAGATCTCATTTGGCGCAGAGGGAAGGGGTAAGTGGGTCTGCCACAGCATTCCAATGTCGACATTTTTTACTGGCGACCATTCCCGACTAACGCCTGCCGAACACCGATCTACATCCTGTTTCGTTACAGCTCATCTACTGCCTGGCCCCTTTTTAGGGCAAAGCACACACACACACCGCATATCACGTTTGCTATCATTATTTGCTTTGCATTCTCCAGATTGTGTTTCTGGTTGTCCGTGCGAATATGTGCTTCTGACATAAAATTCGAGGACTGGAATCTAGATCCTGGACATCGGATTCTGCGTGTGCAATAGGTTTTGATCAAGCAAGGCGCAGCAACATGAATAATCGGTTATCCTAACTAGCGAAATTATCACAAAAAGTAGAAAAAAATGACATTTCTTGCCATGTCGGCAAAAAAAGAAAGTCGCCATAGCTAGCTGTTTTGACTCGCACCGATTTACTCTAAGAGCAGTCTCGAGCCAATGTTAGCACTTCTGTTAGCTGAACGAAGAGGGACGCCAAGACACCGGCCCGGTGAACGCATCTCACTCTACCGAAATTGAGGACTCTTTTAAAGATGGAAGTAATCGAGTCAAACTCCAGGAAGCGGTCACCTAGAGGGGGGACTAGATTGTCGTAACTAAAATTTTGGGCAAGGCTGCTTTATATGCCACCCTAAAAAGGACATGGGGGATAAGGTCACCCACCCAAGTAATAAAGGTGTACATGTGCATAATTCTGGAGAGGGCAAATATTTCCGTGTCCTAACCCGAGCAATAATCCTAGTATAAAACCAAACCGTTGCCTTAATCTTGACTTTAACCCTACCTCAAGCCTTAACATTTGTCCTAAAATTGATTCTGACTTATCCTGCCCATAACCTTAAACTTAACCCTCCACCTAATTCTAACCTTAAATCTAACCGTATTTCCACCGGACGTTTACTCAAAATCGCCCGTATTGCAGCCAGTTCCTGTTTAGGAGGCTATATGTGCAAGTCAGTCTTGCCGAATTTTATTCCGAAGAGTCAGCCTAGCCCCGTACCGAACGTCAAGACTGGCAACAAATAAAGGTGGCGGACGCAAAAAGAGTACTGTATTTGCCTATAGAGACGAAAAGACGAGCGCACGAAGCAGTCGTGAAGGAGACACGATCACCGGGAAAAGATAATTTATTCGCCTGACGTTTCGGATTCCTGCTTGTGAGTGCTTACACTCCCAGAAACAAGAGCCAGCAAATCACTGGAGGCCATGGGCATTATCCTACAGCGCTGTCGGCTTAGTCATGGCGCCTCCCCATTGGCTGCTCCCCTCGTGTCTGATCGATCTGCGTATTTGAATTATCGACCAGCTCCTTTATTCACCGCAGATGTTGCCACTTGGTCCACTGATGGCTTGGTTTGATGGTTACTTGGCATTTGACTCGCCAATACTCATACCGGAAGCAGTGCTTACCAGCGAGCTGCTCGCGAGATTAATAACTGTGCCAAGACGGCAGTCTTATCACTTAGCTTGGATGGTGAAAATCATTGTACGAACCGGAGAATCCTGATTCACGTTGCTCACAACTCGGCCGGTTGTGACCTCTTGCAAGAATTTGGGCCTCGTCGAGGTCGCTGGGCCCGGTCAAAGGGGCCACGACTTAGGGACTGGAGCTATTTTTCCGCACTGTTGATGTGTTTTCGTTCATGCATTCAGAGCAATCCTCCGGCTCTTCAGACATGGTTACTTCGTCCGCAGATGCACTAAATGTGATAAGCCACCTAGACGTTTCTTGTCTTGGCAGGGTGCTTATGGACCTATCATGTAACCCCTTATGAATGCCTCTGGTCTGCATAGAACGCCAACTTTAAGTGGCATGTGAAGGCGGCTGACGGCGTCTGAGACGTGCAGCGCTCGCCAAAATCAAGGTTTGTTGCGGTTTGATTTTCCGTGCCGTCTTTGTTTGCACCAATTGACGGTGTTGCGCAGACACCGTTCTGACTCAGCAAACTTGATTTCCGGTTCACCGCGCTGCGTCCTTACACACCCACAGAGCGCCCCTACGCAAACGCGTCTCTGGCCCTTCGAGTGGTTACTGTTGCCGAAGTTGCGGCCAGAAGACTCGGGTGCGGGCGATCAATTAATCATCGCACCGAACGCAAACAACTGTGATGAATGCAGGAGCTATTAATGTTGGTAGGCAGGGCATGCGGTCGACGCCGTGGTTTACGACGATCGAGCCGTCATTTACGCAGCGGTTGCACTATGCGTCCGTTACACCAATCTGGTGCTGTCTCTGATGAGCAGCAGGCGAGTGAATTCGAAATATCGGAGACATGGTAAGTAACCTTGCTCTCAAAATAGGCCTGAATTAACGACAAGTCACAACCAGTCCAACGCACCCACCAAACTCTAATTACCGACCTCCAGTTAGATAAAAACGCAAAATAAACATTCGCAGTACCAGTTCCTTGCTTAGAAAAGAAATGTTGGAAACGCGAAAATTTGTGGTAGGTGAATAAATACAATTTATAGAAGTACGCAAAACCTGTCGATGGACATAACTCAGTACATTAAAAACACAAGCAAAGCAACATTTGAAAAAAAACGATTCTCTACATACATTTCAGCAGGCATCCTGTAAGGATTAGGGTTATGTGAAGTATGCCACATAATCAAATGCGGAATTTTCGTTTGCAGGTTCGAAAACTTTCTCATGGGAATTTGATGCATATTGATCGATTGTGTATTGTTCGAGATGCTACTCATCAAAACGAAAGAATGATACTTACTTTCACTGATAAATACGTCACGGAAATAAAAGGTCACATGTTGAGAGGTCGTTCGGTGATTAATAAATCCGAATAGAATTAGCGGATGCAATCGCAGTTATACGACTAAATGTATGTCAAGAGAACTTTTGTTCAGTAAAGGTACTGTGTATTTTTTGACGACGGTGGAGTCCACTGATTTAAAGAGGGTCTTTGAAACGTCAGTTACTACTTTGCGGTTTTTCAAAGCTCTTACCTGAAAAGCATGATTCTACAGATTGTACATATCAAATCCTTCAAAAAATCTATTCTTTAATGTATTTACGTTTTTGGTTAGCCTTTGGGTGTTTTTCCTAAAGTAATTTGTTTGTTCACATCCGCCCTTGCACAAATTACGAGGAAAAAACATCCGTTTTCAAGCGCAACAAGTTTTGTTTGGTAAAACTATCCAGTCAGGACTCTGTAGTAGATCAAGACACACAGATAAACAGACTTAGTCTAGATCAGTTACTAACATTAAAAATTGTTCATACATAAGGTAACATTTATTTCTGCTTAAATGTATGAATAGTTTTGCCTAAAAATGAATATCATGCCTTCTATCGTCCTGTTACATGAGTTAGGTCAAGTGCTCAATGATACCTGGTTCACAATCTCATACTCGTTTTGACCAGTACACCATCACAAGCGCATGAATGCCGTTCATAGTGTAGAAGGTCTTGGCATTCCAGAATGACCGCATGTTTATCCTGACCTCCTTTTTATATCTATGAGAAACTTCCTGAAACTACAATGAGTAAATTCGGTTGGGATTGTTTGACCACAATCTATTGAAGACAAACTGTAGTGACTGTAGAAAACAATTAATGCGCCAACTTCTGGCAACTGGATTTGACGACAGTATGTTTTCTCCCCCAACTTCAAGGATTTACTAACCTTTCGCGATACATTATCTAGATTGTCAAGTACTTCGGCCGTAGCGGTAATACAACAGTGGGAGTAGGAAGTTCTAATTAACCATTTTTGATCGTTCAGAATTGAGTGTGCCAAACAGGAGCGCAAAAGCAGCAGACGCTGTCTCAAATTCCCTCTTAATTTCGTGTCTTACCTGCTCAAACAATTATAAAAAAGACTAGCATTCATCCGAACGTTCTTGCTAGAATTCAGCCTAGCTTTTGAATATATCTGAACAACATGAAACAGAATGGCATTACGTACAAAGAAAATGGAGATTGGGATGACCATTTCTGGCTTACTAGACGTCGTCAGCCAGTCCTACCCAACCGCAAGATGTTGAACACCAGATGCTTGATCCCGCGACCTGGTGTTTAAAAGTCCAGCACCTCTAACCGCTGAGCCACGGCTAATATGTCAGAAATGGTCATTTAAGTCTACCTTGTCTCTGTCGTTAATGCTATTCTATCTATATTATGCGTCGCCGTGCGGTTGCTGGTTGGGCTCCAGAGAGATCCCTAGGGAAAAACGGGACGCGTGGGTTCCGTAAACATGATCGGCCATCAACCAACATGAAGTAGTCACGCTATCCACGGCTTCCCCAACATTCCAGACTCCGACCCAACCCCTAACTTGGTCCACCGCGTCTATTGCGAGCACAACCCGACCCCACACACATGTCCCCGGGTTATCTGTGAACCTAATTCAAAATGCAAGCATACATGGCGCTACAGTAACACCATGCCTATCTCATGCAGCAAGCATATGATCCACTTTGTCATATGGCGAACCGAACGTCGTGCGTCTGAACATTCAAACCCTCACACATGTGGGAATCATCTCCGGGCGGTCCTGACGCATGAGTGGGGGGGACCAGGTCGTGTTGTTAAGCTCCGCCAACCACTGCACCCAATCCAATCACGCGTTGACAGAGAGGCTCAGAGAGTGTACTGGTGCATGAGAGTACGGAGGAGAGAGTGAGAGCCGGCACTATAATAAACTTGACGCACTTGGATCAGCCACGATGCTTGTGGTTTGAAATGCTGCCAACTGATGGGATAATTCGCTCCCGATGGCAGTATTTAGTATGACTGGAGGAGTTAGGCTGCAACGGCTCTCTCATGCATGTGAGGTCTAAGTCGCCCCCTAGAGAGGTTTAATATACAGTGAGTGACCTATCTCATGAAATGTTGGCTGAAATTCTGAAATGCGTTTTCGATTAGGAAGGATTACTTGGTCGCGGTTGTAATAATAATTATCTTAAGACATACTCTTATAACATTTCGGACTCGGCAGGATGTCACATTTTAAATGCACTTCTTTTTAATCTCCTGTAGAAAGCGCGCTCGGTAAAAAATGACTACTTAAGTAGCTGCATTTTTCCCACTGATTTTCGATGGTCTTGCAAATTCCAATATATTTTAAAGAAACTATAAACAAAAATATGCTTTCTTTTAGTCAATCAATAGAGAATCACGTCTTCTTTATATTTTATCCTTAAGGAAGGAGGATAAATCGGTTTTGAAAAAGTTTCTGATTATGAGACTTTTAAGACCGCAAAATGTCCATTCACATAGCATCGTACCTGACCGTTTACCACCGCTCCTCATGAAATGTACAACATGGTCCGCATCCATTGCAAAATTTTACGAACTCTGTATGATATCTTTGTTAGTGGCTTAGAAAAATATGTGATTTTCTTTACGCGGAACACATGCACCTTGTAGAGTGAAATCACTAAGCGCTAATGTAACGAATGATCAGGCTCCAAATTATTCGGCAATTAGGAAACTTTTTTAAAACCTAATTATAGTCCTTCCTTAAGTATAAAATATAAAGAAGACGTGATTTTCTATTGATTGACAAAAAGAAAGCATATTTTTATTTATGGTTTCTATGAAATATATTTGAATTTCCAAGACCACTGAAAATCAATGGGAAAAGTGCATGCTACTTAAGTAGTCATATTTTTATCGAGCACGCTTTCTACAGGAGATTGAAAAAAAGTGCATTTGAAAGCCGACATCCTACCAAGTCTTAAATGTTATAAGAATATGTCTTAAGATAATCAGTACTACAACCGCGACCAAGAAATCCTTCCTAATCGAAAACGCATTTCAGAATTTCAGCCAACATTTCATGAGATAGGTCACTCACTGTATGTAGGGTGGGAAGCAAACCGGTAGCCTTGAAATCGACTTGCCCTAGGGACTCGATGGGTGAGGGAGGAGAGGGCGCAACATATGCCGTGCAAGTCCGTTTCACTGTAAACTAATTCAACGCGTGATGCAACGGTGTTATACCCACTCCGTGCGGCACAAGTGGACACTGTCGTTCGCAGTAGTTAAACTACGATAATTGGTACTGGGGTCTCTTTGTAAACTTTAAGGCCTTGTATTTCAAAAACCGATTCTCGTTCATTTACGTTTGGCTTAACTGGCTGACGATGGCTAATAAGCCAGAAATGGCCATTCCAGTCTCCTTGTCTTTGTCAGTAATGCCATTCTGCCTATATCATGCGCCGCTGTGCGGCTGCTGGTTGGGCCCGAGAGAGAGAGAGTCCATAGGGCACAACGGAACGAGTGGCTTCCGTAGGAACCATTGTATATTCCCGATCGAAACCGACAGGTCAACGGGCTCGTGGTCCAGCGGTTAGAGGCGTAGACTTCTAATTAACAGGTCGCGAGTTCAATCCTTGGGTGTTCCACACTTCGGGTTGGGTATGACTGGCTGACGACAACCAATAAGCCAGAAATGGCCTTTCCACTCTCCCTTGTCTTTGTCAGTAATGCCATTCTGCCTATGTTTGGTTTGTTTATATTTGTGCGAAAGTCACTGAAACCACAATGAGCAGTTTCATTTGGGATAGGTTTCATTCCCATACCTCGCCATCTATCGACGACTAACTGGATTGCTTGTAAAATAGCAGTTCGCCCACCCGATTGATGGTGAATGTCGTGTTAACAAGTTTTCTTCACTTGCGTCAGAGATTTTGTAACTATTCGCCATGAAACATCTGGAGTTTCGATGATTTTCAAGTACACCATTCTTACCAGTAGTTCAATATTATCGGCAAAAAATGCTAGATAAATGTTTGTTTCAAAACATCCAAGTGGGACTTTGCCGCAACGTTACTCAGAAGTAGCAGAATCTGTTCTGAATTTCACCTCAATTCAGAACATCATCTTATAAGCCAATTACAAGAAACATCAACATTAGTTTACACTTGCCTATTAAAATCTACTCATACTTATCAGACATATTTTGGCGGAAAGCTACAGTAAGGCTTAGTCGACTATTAGTGGTGGCTGTATAAATTCATCCTGTCTCGTCCGCATTATACCGGTCATCTACACTGGCATTTCTGAGCACTTTAAGAATGTTTGTTTTTCGTATTCGTCTCATACTTTCTTATCACTGATCTTTGTATTCCGTTCTATGAGTGAAGCACACTGGAGGCAAATGGCCGTCCATGGACTTGAAACTAGTATGAAGGTTTTTGTAACATTTTTGATATGATTCCCAGCGTTGCTCCATTGTGACTTGCCTATCGTCCAGTAACATTCTAGAACCCTCGGATAAAGCCTTCCTCAACTTCTAGGTTATTCTTTTATTGTTCTCCCCTTTGACTGTTCATTGTTGCCCTCCGAAGAATACACCCTTGCTCATGCAGGTCGTCATGTTATTGTAGCATGCATGCAACTGTGGGTTCAAGCATGCCTGTCATATCAGCCATTTGGCGATGACTAGAACTCAGTCGCTGTTTATTAATAAACCGCTAAAGCAGTTTAACCAGTTAGGGTTAGATTTGACTTTTGCATTTTAGTGGCATCAGAGCGAGGCGCGCGTCTACACGAGTAGACTGGCCAAAGTTTGTCCTGACCCATTCGAAGAAAGTCAGATTATCTATCGGCTCCAGACCCTTGAAAGAGCTCGTAAGCGACGAGTCCATGTCTACGCAGGACGCCCTGCTCACCGACATGCAGAGCTACAGAGAGCCATAGGTTTTATCTTGAAAAGAATTTTCAGCAAAAAACGACTCCATTTATTTTGACAAGGATAAAAATTTACAAGTGATGCCAACGTAAATTTGTTTGCATAAAACTGTATGTTTATAAGGAGGACAATTCGAGTCCCAGCTTCTGTATTTCGCTTTTTTTACACGAAAGGTATCGTGCCAAAAATGGAAATGTAGAATGTTGATATACTGATTTACTTCGAGAGATATGTAGAAGGTCACAGCACATGGGGTGGGAGGTCTTCGCAGCAGGTAGTTCAGAATGAACGGGATGAACAACGTCATCCAGAATTCGGTCAGCCAATTACTCGACCAAACCCAAGTTACAGAATAATCATCTACTTGCCCCTAATCTTTTGCTTCATTACTTCAATAGCCATATACAATGCACAAGCCTGAATAGAATTGGTCGAAAGCAGACGTATGCTCGCTAAAGTAGTTCAGAACGGAGGGGGTGTACAAAACCATCCGGAATTCAGACATCAAATTGCTCGACCATTGTGAAATTTCGTCGAGTTAGAATATCGACTAAAATGACATAAAAACACCAGCTGCGGATGAGAGCATTCAAAGGACTCGTTTTAACATCAAAGTGTTTTTTAAGCAAAGCAGGAAAAATAACCGGCGGACAATAAAGAATAATAGGAGAACGCAGGCACTTATAGATCTTCAAATTAGGGTTTGGGTGAAGAAAGAATGTAATTAACGAGTTTACAAATCTTAGTGAGCAGGATTTCCATATGAAGGTAGAATGAGAGATTTCAGGACGGAGTGGCACCAAGGTAGCGGAAAGGGGATCCCTCATTAGGAAGAATGTCCAAGAATTCAGGAATGGAGAGGCTCGCAGCGGAAAATCACAGTGGGCTGATTTCTGGTGGTTAAGTAGAAGATCATTTGCCGACGAGCATGCAGAGACGTGATCCAAGCCCTCATCCAAAGGCTGGAGATGAACATGATTTTTGAGACAGTGACCATCGACCATTCCGTCAGCAGTATGAAGGGAGGGGAGGTGAAGGGATAAAATGGAACGATGGTAGAAGGGCGCTCAGCGGTCGCGCACGGAACTCACTCTTTGTCGGTTATGCTAATTTGTTATTACACGCCGCTGTGCGACTGCTGACGAGGCTCAAGAGGGAACCCCGAAGCACAGCACGACGAGTGGATTCGGTAGCATTATCGGTAAGAGTCCCCTCTATCACTGTGCATACCCGATCAAAATCGACAGAGCAACCAGCCCATGCCTCAGTATTTAGGGGCATTTGGATTCCTAACCAACATGTCGCCGGATCGAGCCCCACACTTCGGGTTTGGGTATGATTAGCTGACGTCGACTAATAAACCAGAAATGGCCATTCCAGTCCCCCTTGTCTTTGCCGGTAATGTCATTCTGCCTCTTAACTGGAATCTTAAAGGAATCCAGAAACTGGGCGAATTGGGTTTAAAAAGTAAAACAATCTCTATGTCAAGAAACAGACTAGTTGGGAGAGCCGTACGCGGATACTTTGGTATGAGGAAATGGCGCGGGACAGTATTGAAAGTGGAGGAGTATTCAAGAAATGCACCTGCGTAAGCACGACAAAACCTATCTATATCTCTTAGAACAGAGTGGACTACATGGGCAGTAATATCTGGAACATTATGCCTGGTCTTATATGCAAATTGTAAAGGTTCGGCGGATTTGGAGGAGAATGACATAATGGAATCAAAGGCAATTCGTTCAGCGAGTTTCAGGAGGGCGGGAGAGCAGGCAGTTTGACGGAAAGATTTAAAATCAAAATTGGTAAATTTCTTTGGAAAAAGAGTGATTCTTACCACTTACCTCTTTCCTCCCCACTCATCTTCTGGGACCTGCCGCCACACAAGTCAAGCTTGTCCTGCCAGTCTCGGCGTTTGTAATCCGTACGCTCTTGCAATTGGCCGCAGAACGTATTGGCAACGCAGACCAAAACACTTGACCATCTTGTCCTCTGTACAAGTGATTCTTCCAACTTTGTCTCTCCGGCTTACGAATTTAGGGCTGGGTAAAAACATTCCAAAGTAGACACAATTTTTACTTCCGTGGGCAAAGGGTTTTTGGGTGCATATACAGTCTGTTTCTGTTCAGTAACATCTGTCCCAATTAGCAAATTATATAACTAGACAAAATCTCATACTTTTTGGGGAAGGCAGGGAAATGTGTACCCAGCCCTAACCCAAACCATAACTCTAACCCCAAATTCAGCCTTAATTTTAACCCTGACCCTAATCCTTACCTCACTGCGGCTTTTGTAAGGCCATCTGCATTACGGAGGACTCAAGAAAAGTTTATGCTTCTCGCACCGATACTGTCAAATTGCGTTGGAAAGAAAACACAACTGGGGGTGATTCAGAACACAAGCGGAACCACCCTGTCCTCGATTGCGTTCACATGCGCAGTATAGTTGACCCAAACCCGGTTGAACTGGTTTGGGGTCAACAGGAGGTACATAAGACGGGTTTAATTCATTGTGTCGGTATAGTGCGCGTCTATAGAGCACAAGCATTCCTCCCAACTATATAAATAAATATTATTTTCGAAGGCGTGAATATCCTTTGCAGGCAACTCGATGGTTCAGACAATACGGAATCTCCTCAGGTGTGATGGGGGGTTTATTGTCGATGGCAGCATGCGTAAGTCAGAGGAGGAAAGAGCACAAAGGACTCCAGAATTGAGAAAATATGATGAGGTCGCTGTGACAAGAGATCTACTGGCCTGACGGTTCACATTCTCCCTCAACCCCCCCCCCCTCCCCAAAAAGGGACAGTCGCGGATAAGGGTGATGGAGGCACAATAAGTGCAGTATTTCTAGGCCGCAGTTGCCACTACATCACATGCCTAATACAAGTGGCGGCCCCGAATTCATCGCGGGGCCTACAATTGATGCGATGATGGCTTGTTAGTCCGCGCTCGAGTGGTTAATTACCGTCGTGAATTCTTGGAGCAATAATTTCTCGGTCATTCGGCTTGCTGTCATTGGGACCGTCTGTCGCCAGCACCCTCCCTGCCCGGCTAATTCCCTTATCCGTACAATATTACCGGATTCTCCGAAAATTCGTGGTTTCCAGCTCCGAAATCGTTCCAGATAAGAAGACTATTGAGAAAAAACATTTCTCCAGAAAGCTCTGGGGGAAATTCTCTGATGAGGGTATTTCTGCCGAAAGTATCAAGTCAGTAAACCTTACTGAAGTTAAAGCATCAGTTAGCGGTGATTAATTCGACAAACTCCAAACGGTAGAAGCAATATTGCAAGACTCCAGAAGGGTCGTAGTGGATTCATTTATCAAAAATAAGAACAGGAGTTTAATTCCGACGGCCGTCATGTTAGCTACTCCAGTTTTTTTCCAGAAGGGAGTTCGTTTGTTTCGGATATATGGCGAACAGCTTGTCTGAGGAGAAAATTTACACGGTTCAATGAAATTTCCGCTAGAAAATGCGCACATTTAACACGGGATTTGCTGTCCGTTAGATGCAACAGAGCACTCCAGTACTGGAAGAAGAGAGTTTGATCGTTGAAAGAAGAGGCTTGCTGGCCTGACGTTTCGGATCATCACTCGAAGCCAACATCACAGACAGTCGCAAATAAGGGTGATGAAGGTACAAGGAATACAGTATTTATAGGCTGCAGTTGCTACACCGTCACATGTCTAATATAACTGGCAAATTCCTCATCCGCCGCTGGGGCTCGTAATCGATGCGATGATATCCTCCGCACCTGAGTTGTCGAAATGTAATCAATAGTATGGAATCTTGGTGTGATAATTGCTCTGACTGTTGGTCGCTCGCGTCCTTCCTGCACCGCCAGTTACTCTGCCCGGTCAATGTGGTGGTCATTATGATTGTTGATCAACTGGGGGCTGGAGAATGACTCAGGCAGCTCTCAAATCATGGAGGAATTTCGACCTCGTCGAATGAGCTGCACTTGCGAGTTAACGTCATCCCCCTCCACTGCCGCCGCACGTCCGACCGTTCGCGCCCAGGGTTATCTCCCAGTTTCTCCGACGTAGTTACGTTGTCAGCAACCGCAACAGATTCAGTAAAAGGCTCCGGACGTTTTCCGCCGTGGCAGTGGGCCTTTCGACCACATGGCCTGACGCCTGATGGCTGTCTCTTCTCCGTGCGCAACTTCAACGGTTGACGGCTTCCGAGTTGTTCTTCATATACGAGAGCGCTCACCAAAATGTGGGGTCGGTTGAATTTAGTCTCTCGTGGAGTTTACTCACGCAACGGCTGACGAAGTTGCTGGGTTAACCACTCGTCTGAGCAGCCGTTGAGGATACTGTAATTCAGCGACCTGTTCTTCCGGTTCACTATGATGCGTCCCAACACGCCGGCATAACTTCCTTATGCAACTGCGTTTGTGACTTGTTGGATGGTTGCTGTTGAAGTTCAGCGCTTGCGTCGAGTTTTTTGCCTTCCTGAACACTCTAGTTTTAAACAACCACAATCTTTGCGGCAGACGTGTACATCAGGGAAGGCTAACTGGTTCTGCTCTTCCTCCCACTTCGTAAATTGTATGTCTTCGAAGACGGCACTTAGACGTTTATTGAATTTCAGCACCTGATCGCGCTCGATGACGAGCCCAGAATTCCGGTGTGTGATATCAGTAGACAACAGGACAACGGGCTCGTGGTCCAGCGGTTAGAGGCGTAGACTTCTAATTAACAGGTCGCGAGTTCAATCCTTGGGTGTTTCACACTTCGGGTTGGGTATGACTGGCTGACGACAACCAATAAGCCAGAAATGGCCATTCCACTCTCCCTTGCCTTTGTCAGTAATGCCATTCTGCCATTCTGCAACCTCGCCCGATGCAGGAACGCTACACCAAAATCGGTGTACCCGTTGGTGTACCAAGTCAAGATCAACAGCAATCACCCAATCGGCCACAAACGCAATAGCATAAGGACGCCATACCAGATTGCAGTGAACCGGAAGACATGGCTGCTGGATTAGAATATCTTCGTTGGATG